CACCACTGCCACCATACTCCTCCTCTCGCCCCGCCACGAGCACCCCCATCGCCAAAACCCTTATTCTACTTGCTATCTCTATAGCTTCATCAATTCTGGGTTTCATATTCTCAAAAAAAGAAAAAACAAAACAAAAAACATATAACCAAAATTCAAGAGGGTGACCCCCAATGATATAACACATCAGCCAAAAACCCAACACGAATAAACAAACAAACAAGCAAAAAACATAGAATATATTGAGAACCACATCAAGTATCTTAAAAACTTAAGATAGATTGAGAAAGTGAAGAACTGAGTTAACTTAGTAAAGATATAAAATATTTTTTTAATTTTAGTAACAGCAAAAAATGCTTTCACTACATAGATTATTTTGATAAAATATTGACTCGATTTAGATATTTTTATAGTCTAAATATCAATTCAGTTCTCTGATTTTTTTTTTCTTTTCTAAAAGTTGATTAAATTCCCTCTTGAGTTGATTTATACCACTTTGCCTTATTATTGACCTTGGCACATTGTTATTTATTTAAGCTATTCTTTTGTGTAATAAAAAAATTACCTATATGCTAGCCATTAAGTTAATTTCACTATATGAGCTTGGTTTTTCAAGGTGTTAATCTGTCAAGTCCTAGATCTCTAGATCTCTTGCTCAGAAGGTGTGTATGTGTGTGTGTGTGTGTGTGTTTCTCTAAGATCTCACATATGACTCGTTTTCTTAGTTTCCCTTAACACATAATAGTTTAACACAGAACAAAGTTTAAACACACAATTAAGAGTAATGAAGCACAAAATTGCTCATGCAAGAAATATCCTAATTTTCCTTGTACATCTGAAAATAAAGGCTTCTTGGGGTCCACTCATCAGCTGCCCAGTTTAATGGGCATAATATGCATAATAAACATGCATAATGTGCCATTACATTGTAACAAATTCATCAGAATGTTTTTCTGATGTGCTTGTCTGCTTATGCACAGGCTTTTATTTTTCTGTATCATGTGCTTTCCTAGTCACAGTCTGTGTCATAAACTCTTTCAACTGATAATATTCGAAAACAGAGTGGATTTTTTCCAGAGTCCAGTATGTGAATACACTAAGTTAAAAAATAAAATCTATGAGGGAAAAATGGGCAAGTAGCTATTAACTCCTTTTCAATTCCTAGTAGCATGCGATCTGTGTAAAGTCTGTCAGATTCAATAATGAACTGGGGGAAATACCTGTCTAAACTCAGGTCCACTAGAGCACAATATTTCTCACATAAAATGGCCTCATCCTCAATTCATCTTCATTTAAATAGAGAATTGAATATATCCTGATCCTCTATGCCCACCATTTTCTGTAAAGTTTTTGTCATTACAAGTTTAATACTCAAATCATGGAAAAATCAATCTCTATCTTTGGCCTTCTCTGGCCTCAAATACTTTACTCTGACTCACATCCATATCTATTTCTGACAATTTGATTGGTTTCTTTTCATGAATTCCTCATTTTTCTTTCTCAGATGCTTGACAGCTGTGAAATTATTTCCACAATGTTTCCAGCTACCAAAAGTCCTAATGGTGGAGTAGTTGAGTGTGTGATTGTTACTATCTGAAAGATTAGTGGTTCAAATGAACCAGCGATTCGAAGGGAGACTCTATGACACTTCTCTCATATACGATCACTATAAATTGGAATCGACTTTAAATCGACTTTTTGATTGTTTGTATGTATTTAATTCTTTTTAATATTGAATATTTCCTAATTACCATAGAAATGAGGCTACGTATTTGAAAGAGCACTGGATTTGAAGTGTTAGAAGATTTTTCATTTGTTTGGATTTGTTCTTTTTTGCCTCAATGCTAAAGTTGTGTAATTTTGGATAGATGTCTGATCTTCCTCAATCTAATTTATTTCTCATTAAAGAATAAATATAACTTATTTACCTTTCAAAGTTAATCATGTAAGTGTATACACATCAAATCGCAGCAAAATGTCTTGTAAAGAACATAAATCAATACCCAATTGTACATTATGATGAAGGTGATATTTATTTCTAGTTATACTTTAAATTAGTTATAAAAGATTCCTGGATTCCTTTACCCAAACTTTATTTTGTTTCCACAAAAGAATATTTATTTCATTCTCTACCTCCAGAAGAATTTCTTCAAGGTCTATTAAAAACAACCTCTTCCTCTTTCTGAATGTTATCAATGGCACTTATTCTAACGTATATGTAAATTTCCTGAAAAAATACTTTATCACTTGTTGCTATTGTTGTAAGGTGCCCTCAAGGCAGTTCCAACTCATAATGATGCTATGTGCAAAAGAACAAAATGTTCCTCGAACATTTACCTCCCTAATATATATATATATTTTTTTTTCTTTGAGCATATTGGTGCAAACTCTATGATAATCCATTTGATCAAAGATCTTGCTCTTTTTCTCTGTTTTACAAAGCCTGATATCCTCATTCAGGGACTAGTATCTCATGACGTTGTTTTTGTTGTTGTTAGGTGCCATCAAGTCAATTCCAACCAACAGCTGCTTTATGCACAACCGAACGACAGACTGCCCTACTTTACCATTCTTACAGTCATTCCCGTTGTTGCAGGTGCATGATAAAAACCATCTCACTGAGGGCCTCCCTCTTGTCTGGTGCCCCTCTTTTTACCAAATATGATTTCCTTTCCAGGGACTGATCTCTTATGAAAGCATGTCCAAAGAATATAAGAGGAAGTCTTGCTATTCTTTCCACTAAGGAGAACTCTGGCCTTATTTCTTCCAATACAGATTGGCTTGTCCTTTCAGCAGTTCATGGTACTTTCAAAATCCTTCTCCAGCACCACGATTCAAATACATCCATTGTTCTATGGTTTTTCGTATCCAAAGCCCAACTTTCACACACAAAGGAGGCAATTGAAAATATCATGATTTGGGGTTGGTACACCTTAGTTCTCTAAGTAACATCTTTGATTTCCAATACTCTGAGGATGTCTTGTGCAGTCTATTTACCTAATGCAGCTTCTGTTTAGGGTCTTTGCTGCTTTAATGAGCATAGATTTTGTATCCAAGTAAGACAAAATCCTTGACAACTTCAACATTTTCTCTATTTATCATGATATTACCTTTGAACCATTTGGGATTATTTTTGGTCTTCTTTACATTAAGTTGCAATCCATACTGAAGACTGCCATCCTTAATCTTCATTAGAAAATGCTTCAAGTCCTTGCTTTCAGAAAACAAGATGTTTCATCTGCCTATCACACATAGTTAATAAGAATTCCTCTAAACCTGAAACCACATTCGTCTTCATAAAAGTCAGCTTCTCTGATTGTTTGCTCAACATACGTATGGTGAAAGGATACAACCCTGATGCACATAATTCCTGACTTTAAAACATGCATTATTCACTTGTTCCATTTGTGCAAGTACTTCTTTATTCATATACAAGTTCCACATGAACACAACAAAGTGTTTTGGAATTCCCTTTGATCTCAAGATTATCCATAGTTTGCTATGATCCACCCAGTTGAATGCCTTGGCAGAGTAAGTAAAATACAAGTCAACATTTTTCTGGTATTCTCTGCTTTGAGCCGACATTCATCTGACATCAGCACTGTAGTGAAATCCTTGTTCCATGTCCTCCTCTGAATTTGACCTGAACCTCTGGCAGCTCCCATCAATGTAATGCTGTGATAGTTATTAGATGATCTTCAGCAAAATTTTCTTGAATGGGAAATAAATGGTATTTTTCTAAAATGCAGCATTCTACTCAGTCATCTTTTTTGGAATGGGCACAAATATGGATCTTTTCCAGTCAGTTGGCCAAGTAACTCTCTTCCAAATTTCCTGGCATGGACGAGTGAGTGCATCCAGTGGTTCTTCAGGTTTCTGAAGGATTATAATTGGTATTTTATCAATTCCTAACGCCCTGTATGTGGCTGATACTTTGAGGGCAGCTTGAACTTCTTCCTTCAGCACCATCACTTCTTGCTCTTATAATGGTAGAATGTTGAATTGTTATATTTTGTTTGTACAGTGGCTCTGTACAAAATGACTAATGTGGCTCTGTGTATTCTTTCCATCTTCTTTGACGCTTGCTGCAGCATCTATTATTTTGTCAAGAGAATCTCTCAATATTTGAACTTGAGGCTTGACATGCTTCTTGAGTTCTTCCCATTGCAGATATGCTGAATGTGTTCTTCACCTGTGGTTTTCTAACTCTACATCTTTGTACATTCCAGTACAATATTTGGCTTTGTTTTCTTGAGCGCCTGTTGATATTTTCATTCCATCTTTGACTTTATCCTTTCTTAGATTTGCTCTAGCTACTCAAGATTCAGAGCATGGTTCTGAGTCTCTTCTGAAATTCACTTAAATAGTTTCTTTCTATCCTGTCTTTTTTAATGACCTTTTCTTTCTTCATTAATGATGTTCTTGATATCATCCCACAGCTCATCAAATCTCTCATGATAACATGACAAAAGTATTCTTTCTTCCAATTAGAAATCTGTCTGTATTTCCTCCAAGACAGACCTGTTTTTCTTTGGCATTTTATGGTATTTTCAATATTATTCTCTAGCACCTTAATTAACACACATCAGTTCTTCTCTGTGTTAGTCTGGGTAGACTAGAGAAACAAGTCCATAGAAACTCATATGTGTATAACAGAGAATTTTATATAAGGGGTAATTTTACATTTAAAAAAAATATTTTATTGGGGGCTCGTACAATTCTCATCACAATCCATACATACATCCATTGTGTCAAGCACATATGCACATTTGTTGCCCTCATCATTCTCAAGACATTTGCCTCCCACTCTAGCCCCTAATATCAGTTGCTCATTTTCCCCCTCCCTTCCCATTCCCCCCTCCCTCATGAATCCTTCATAGTTCATACATTATTATAGTTTTTTCATAAGTTACCATGTCCGATGTTTCCCTTCACCCTCTTCTCTGCTGTCCATCCTCCAGGGAGGAGGCAATCCTTAGATTCTTGTAATTGATTAATTTTACATTAAGAAAGCATCCCGAGTGCTCATCCAGGGGCAGGAGGCCGGGGAGCAGGAGGGACACGTCGGAGGTGAGCCAGAGTGTGTCCAGGGGCTGGAAGGGCACCACGGATTCCTGCCAGCCTTGCTCACCGAAGCTGCTCATCAGGGCCTGGGTGACCTGGTGCAGGCTCAGGCGGCAGTCAAAGTTCTGTGTGAGCAGCAGAACGGTGAAGGTGCAGCGGTCGATGGCATCCTGCAGGCAGCTCAGCTCGCTGCACCCTGGCACCTGGAAGTCCTCGCAGAAGGTGGCCAGGTCGGGCACGCCCAGGGCCTCCAGCTTCTGGCGGACAAGCAGCAGGCTGGAAGATGACGACTCAGGAGTCGCGCTTGGGAGGGAAGACGAAGAAGATGGAGAGGGCATTTGGGGGGCCTGGGGAGGAGGGGATTTCAGCCTGGTTTTCTGAGAGGCCATGTCACCTCCTGGACCTGAGAGCAGTGTTCTATCCTGGCTGGGATCCCTGGGGGGCTCCGGGGTGGGTGGGGAGAGAGACTGGGCAGGTGTGGGAGGAGAGGGGTGTGCTTCAATACCTCGGAGCACTCCACCAGACAGTGAGCTCTGGGTTCTGGAGGTGCTGAATGGTGGGGGAGACCTGGACCAGGGTCCACCACAGGCACATGGGGGGCTGGACAGTCCGGCAGCTCCTGGGGAGGGTCAGTCTGCACAGAGGGCGGCCAGCTGACCTGCTGCGGCTCCTGGTGGCCCATGGGAACAGACTCACCCCGCAGGCTGGCTGCGGGCTGGTGGCAGAGCTTGCTGGGCCCTGGGGTCCTGGTGGGCTGGGTGAGGAGGGCCATGGTGGGTGACTGGCTGATTTTCAAGTTGCTGGCCAGGGAGGCCGGGCTGCCTGTGGACCTCAGGGGTCTAGCCAGGCTCCAGTTCCAGGAGTCCCTAATGGGTCTCTGGAGGCTCCTGGTCCCTGAGGGGGGCGCTGAGGGCAGTAGGAGCCCAACCCGATTGGAGCACAGGGGCCGGAAGCCCCCCAGGTCGGCCACATCCCACCCACACTGCTGCTGGGCCTCAGCCTGGAGCTCCGGCAGGCGGGTGTCAGCGCTGAAGGCCTGCAGGGCAATACGGTAGGCGGCCTCCCGCAGTAAAAAAAACAAAACAAAGCATCCCAACCCAGTCTAGTCCAAGACCATAAGTTTTATATTAGCCATATGTCTGATACCAATCTATAAAGTTCTCTTCAGACTCATAAAACATATGCAACGACGCCCAATGCAGGAAGATCACAGGCTAGTGGATAGAAAGTCTTTAGATCCAGTGGCATTGTAAGTATCTCAGCACTGTCAGAGGTCTTTACAAGGCTTTTCCAGCTTCAGAGGTCTGGTTGAATCAGGGTGGGTCCATGTGGCTTCTCCAGCTCAGGGCACTAGCGTAGTTCCATTTGTTTTGTCAGTAGAGTATCGTCTCATGTAGTCAGCATTCTCAGTAGAGTCTCCAAGGGAGTGAACACAGGGAGACAGTGTCTTCTGTCTCCAAGGAAGAAATCCCAGAGTTTTCCCAGAATCCTCAGGGAAAGGCCATGCCCACACAGAGGCCTCATTGGCTATAACCCGAGTGACAGACTAGGTTCCACCTCTTCACTCTTAATCCTCTCAACTCCAAAATTGCCCAACTTTCACAATGGGTATGTAGCAATAGAAAATACCATGGCCTTGGTCAGGAGTATTTTAATCCTCAATGTGACAGCTTTGTTTTTCAAAATATTAAATATATATTTTGAAGTAGATTTTCATAATGAAATGCATTGTTTGATGTTCAAGACTAAGTTTCTGAATCTCTTTTACAGACCACATTGGTTTTTTGCCCCCTTAATATCCTGTTTTTTGAATGACTCTGTGTGCTCCCTTGCTTTTTGATGTAATACCACAGCTTGGAGGTCTTGTATCATTAGTGTTCAATGAGCCAAATTTGTTCTTGAGATGTTCTCAAAATTGAGTTGGTATATACTCACAGTCAGTTTGCAGGGGCCTCTTTAATATATATATTCAACTTCATATATATACATATATATATGTGTGTGTATATATATATATATATATTCAACTTCAATCTGTACTTATAAATGAGGAAATGATCTGTACCTCAGTCAGTCCCTGGCCTCAATTTGGCTACTGATACTGAACTTCTCCATCATGTCATCCCACAGATGTCATTAATTTGATTTCTCTGTTTTCCATCTTGCAAAGTCCATTTGTATAATAATTGTGTGTGTTGTTAAGAGAAATGGTATTTTCAATGAAGAAGTGGTTGGTCTTGTCAAGTTCTGTCATGGAATCTCCATCAACAAATTACCTTTTGTATTCTAATAATAATTAACAATGCATCATAAATGCATGCTTGATCAATTTCAGACTGAAGATGCTGGTAGAATTATTACCCTCCATTGTCCAATCTTTAAAAAATCATTTCCTTTATTGTTTGGTGAGTTAAATTGAATAGTATTCTTAATAAATGTATTGCCATCCAAGTATACAGATATCATTCTATTACAGCATTGTACTTCAAAATGGACTAGGAATGTCCTTTTTGATGATAAATGCACCACCATTCCTCATGATTTTTATTTCCAGCATAGTAAACCATATGATTTTCTTACTCAAAATGACTAATACACATTTGATTTAGCTCACTGGTGTCTAAGATATCAAATTTTATGCATTTCTTTTTATTTTCCTTTAAATCATTTTACTGGGGACTTGCATAGCTCTTATCACAATCCATACATACATTCATTATGTCAAGCACATTTGTGCATATGTTGCCATCATTATTTTCAAAACATGTTCTTTTGACTTGAGCCCTTGGTATCAGCTCATTTTCCCCCCTTCCCACCCTTCTTCCCTCATGAACCCTTGATATATTTTTTCATGTCTTAACTGACCACTGTCTCCCTTCACCCACTTTTCTGTTGCTCATCCACTGGGAGGGGGTTATATTCAGATCATTGTGATTGGTTCCCCCTCCCCCACCCAACTTCCCCTTCCCCTCCTGGTATTGCTACTCTCATTATTGGTCCTGAAGGGTTTATCTGTCCTGGATTCCCTGTGTTTTGGCCAAAGCATTTCATTTTTGGTAGCTTCAAAATTTATTCTTAACTAATTTTCCAATTCAACACTTAGAAATGAGACATGAGTCCTGGTGCAAAGTGGTTAAAGGTGCTGACTGAAAACTCAGCAGTTCAAATCTTCCAATTTCTTTGAGGCAAAAGATGTGGCAGCCTGTTTTTGTAAGGACTTAAACAGTCTTGATCAGTACCAGCAATTCTTGTTAAATGATAAGCACATTCTTTCTATTCACAGAAGTGTCCTGATTTGGATGACAAAATATGACTTCACTCTACCAATGAGTTAATTTCCCAACATGATTATAGCATTAGTGAGGAAGATCCATACTAGGCATCCCAGGCTTATTGAGAAGTGGGTTTGCATCCTCCAATAATTGCACAAGTACCATTTGGTCCAGAATGGGAGTGTTAGAGTTGATAAAAGCAGGTTACTGGTGAATGCAACAAAGAAAGGAAAATATAAATGGTTTTATACTTTCTAACATCAAATGTTATATATATATATACATATATACACACACACATATATATACATATATATATATTTAAAATGAAGTGTCCCCTGATAACGATGGAAGCAATTGAGTAATATTTGTAAGCACACTTGGTAGAAATACAGGTGACTATCTACTTCATTGCACATATTTCCTTGCATCCTCCTGGTCCACTCACTTATGTCTAGGAGAGTTTGGGGAAACAAGGCTATCTAATTCACTGCAGTATCTCAGATTGGGTCATTCTGTTTCTACTTGTTAAGTAGTCTCTTTGTAGAAGCTCAACGTTCCTGAATGATTGCTCGCATTCAGAACAACTTCATAGTTTGTGAACACAAGTGTGAAATATTTAGTTATTTTATCTTTGTTTCCTTGTATTTTTAATATCTTCATATTATAGGGTTTGAGTAGTCTTAATGTTCTCTATCTTCCTTCTCTACTTGACCTCTCTTGGTTCTAATATCTACTGAACTGGTTATTCAGAAACTCTGCAGAAAAATTAATAATTAAAGGCTTTTATTTAAAATCTTACCATAGTGAATGAGGGGAGGGTGGTGCATTGCGGAGACCCAAAGCCCTTTTGTAGGCCACGGGAGATCCCCTTGCAGAGGGGGCTTGGGGAGGAGATGAGCCAGTCAACGATGAAAAATACAACTTTCCTCTAGTTCCTAAATATTTCCCTCCCATCCCCCACTATCATGATCCAAATTCTACCTTGCAAGTCTGGCTAGACCAGAGGATGTACACTGGTACAGATAGGAACTGGAAACACAGGGAATCCAGGGCTGATGATCCCTTCAGGACCAGTAGTGTGAGTGGCGATACTGTGAGGGTAGAGGGAGAGTGGGTTGGAAAGGGGGAACTAATTACAAGGATCTACATGTGCTACATGTGACCTCCTCCCTGGGGGACGGACAACAGTGCAGGGAGATGTCAGACAGGGCAAGATATGACAAGATAATAATTTATAAATTATCAGGGGCTCAAGAGGGAGGGCTGAGCAGGGGGTGGGGGGGGTGGAGGGGAAAAATGAGGACCTGATGCCAGGGGCTTAAGTGGAGAGTAGATGTTTTGAGAATGATGAGGGCAATGAATGTACGGATGTGCTTTACACAATTGATGTATGTATGGATTGTGATAAGAGTTGTATGAGCCCCTAATAAAATTATTTTTTTTAAGTATGTTAAATTGTAATGCCAGTGAAAATGCTTAGGGTACTTTGTACCAGTATGTGTCACAAAGGTTCAGGTTTGCTAATAAATGCCCCAAGGGGCACACGACTGTGCTGTAAAGCTCAATACAAAGTAATTCAACTCAAGCTCCTTGGGTCAGCAAAAGAAACTCTGTGAATTAGTTGTTCAGGAGCAGCCCCCACCAGTTAGCCTCAGCGCCACCTTCTTGGATCAGCAAGTCCACGTCCCCAATTAAGTGCCCCAAAACAACCCACTCATGAAGAATCATGGACTTTTATATTTTGATCTGTTATTTTGACTTTAAAACTAAGTTTGGTGGTCTGACAATTGCAAACAGGCAGCCCCAGTTATATCTTCCATAGACCAATTCACAGAGGGAAAATAAACTTTGCTTCTTCTCACCATAATTAAGTTTATCAATAATAAAATAGTTTTTCAGAACCTTGAATAGAAAACTACATATCTTAGCATCTTTAGCCAGGATTATGTTACATAACCAGGCATGAGTGACAGGGACGATCATTTTTCCTAAGTACATTGGCCTCAATTTTTAACATAAATTGGGAACAGGACAATATCTATTGGGCAAAATCCATAGAGCATCTACCACATTTTTTATGTGCTTCTATAGAATTTACCATAATGTTTAAATTGTTTGCACTTATTGTGTTTTCTGCATGTTATTATATATACCAAAATAACAGAGATTGGCTTTAGCTTAATATCTATCTGTAAAATTCCATTTTTGTTAAGTACTCTTGATAAATAAACAAATAATATTGTATGCTATGCTGTAGTATAAATTAATATGTTTTCCAAATATATCAAACAAGAATGAAGTTCTTTAGGCTAAAGGAAATCAGTACGTTCCTTCATAAATCATAGAAGGATGAGGACAAACCTAGTAATTTTCCCCTTTTTACTCTTCTTAACATTTTATTAGCATTCACCAGATCAATTTTACATTGCATGTGTCCCCTTCAATGTTATATTTAGGAACCTTTGAGGAAAAGGAAACATAGAATGAAGAGTAACAAAGCATGTTCTAACTTTGTCATGTTATTTCTAAACTAGCTATATGTCTGGTTTCAATCTTCTTATCATATGTATCATGGAAATGACCTCTACTTACATCATACAAAAAAAGACTAGTGTAGAAACAAAGTACTAATTAACACTTTTATCCATGTAATATAACATCTCTTAGAAGCAGCTTAAGGCATAGGGCATTTTTTTGTTGTTCCTTGAAATAACCGAGCTCATTTTAGATGCTAATTTCGAAGGTCATTTAAAAAAATAAAGTTTAGTCTTTATGAAAGGACTGA